CACATGATTTAAACGCAACAGAAAATAATATCAATGCAACATCAAGTCCGACAATGCAACAAAAAAAACATCATTTATTAAAAGTTTGTTGGCTAAAAAGATAACTGAAAACAATAGCGCTGGAGCACAATTACAGAAGATATTGTTGGAACAAAAGGATAATAAACCTAATGTCACTTCTCAAATTAATAAACCTGCTTTGCCTAAAAATAAAGTTGTGAAAGCAGTGAACAAATCCAATGTCAATGGATCACCTAATCCTGTTACTCAGCCTATGGATGTAGATCCCGAAACCTTAATTACAAGTACAACCATAGTTTTAGATGGTAGAAGAGCAGGAACGTGGGATCCTCCGCCTCCTTTAGCACCATTGTCATCAGGAGGAGTGCTTGTGTGAAAGTACCCAAGGCAGATGAGGATTCAAATAGCAATGCGTCCAGTAGTGTAACTCACATTCGTGATGCAGCGGCTGAAGAAAATGAAAACAGTTATGAAGGTGTTATACTTAATGGTAATGCTCTTAATGCAGATGGAAATTTGAACAACGATGATAGTAATTCAAAAGATAGCATGCAATCTAATTGCTCGTATAAGGTCAGTGCGAATAAAATGTTGGCAGAATTACTAGATAAAAAATCTACAAGAATGCCAGTCAAAACAGATGTGAATAATATAAATAAAGATAAGCAGATAATTGAAAATGAAAATTTTCTTTTGAATAATCATGACAATTCTGTAATGGATGCAGACACCTTTTCTTAAAACGATGTGCAACTAATGATGATAACAATCTAGATGCTAAGCGCAATAAAATTGAGGATTCTACAGATTGTATTCAAAACAATACAGAGAGTAGTTCTTCTCAAATGTCAAATGATATGGATTCCAATGAAGATCGTATAAATGTTTCATCAACAGCAGCTAATCTTTATGCTGCTTTAGCAGCTGATGCCTTAGAAGATGAAGAAATTGATGAAATTCCTGTAAATGAAATTCCAAAACCTGTTCAAAATGTTGAAAATCCAATTGTAAGTAATAATGATACAATCAATTCAACAAAGGAAGGATCACTGCCACAACCTAATATAATCATAACACAAATTCATCAATGCCAGTTGGTAATCAAGTAAAACCAATACCACAAAAACAGCAAACGATTCCAGTAATTATGCATCCCGGTCAAAATATAATACAAGGTTCAGGACATTTTGTCATGTCTGGCCCTACAGGCCAAATGCAGATTGTGAGTGCTGGACAAAACAACAATATGATTGCTGCACCACAAGTGATATCAGCTCAAGGGGGTCAGATTATGCTTTCTGGTGCTGTACAGGGTCAGACGTATGTAATGCCACAAAATGCACTGCTTCCAGGACAAGGTCAAACATTGTTTGTGACGCAAACACCACAACAACAGGGCACTTGTTCAAAAACTATTATCATTCTGCAGCCGCAGATGACCACTGCTGGTCAAAAAGTTGTGATGACGCCTCAGGGGCAACAAGTGGTAATGACCAAAACAGCACATGTGCAGAATGTGCAAATACCAATTGAACAAAAATTTGTACCAGTTAGTGTGGCAGATACAGCAAATGGGGTGATTGTAAACGATACCAAAGATGGCATTATAAAAATAGAAAATCGGGCACAAACACCGGATGCATCAAATATTAATACTGCTAATAAAATTCAAAATAAACCGAAATCAGAAGAAGAAGAGAGTTTGGCTAGTTGGCCATGGGTATGCGATTGGGCAGGTTGTACAAAAAGGAAATTCAATACTGCAAATCAAGTTTACAGGCATGTATGTGATGTGCATTGCCCACAAGGTAATGTAGAAGCTTTGTGTCAGTGGGGATCTTGTGACAATTTATTGCGAAGAAGGTTTTCTCTAATGACACATATGTATGATAAGCATTGTAGTGCTGAAATGCTTAAAGCTTCTGTTTTAAAACGTAAACAGCAACCAAATCAACCAGTAGTGGCTAAAGTGAATTGTGCACCTCCCCCACAACCAGCAGTTATGTCTTCAAATTTTCCAGCTTATGCGCCTAATGCAGCAATGCATGCCATCAAAAGACATGCATTGGAATATGTTAATCCCAAAGAATTATTACATGGCGGGCCATCTACCAGTGCACGAAGCTTTGCAGCAAGTTCTGAGACTCTGGACAGTAATGAAGGACCAGTCACTAAGAGCATACGCTTGACTGCTTCTTTGATTTTAAGGAACATTGTTATATACTCAAGGACTGGTAGAAGATATCTAAGGTACTATGAGCCACATTTAGCAAGTGTAGCCTTAAGCAATGTGGAATCTTCAAGGACTATAGCACAAGTACTGTATGACTTAAATGATGCACAGTCTCCTAATGCGAGGTGACCCCATTCAGAGGGTTGTGATGTAGTATGTTTTTAGAGTGCAAACCCGTAACATTAGCATTCGCTACTTAATGAACTAAGAATCTTGTTTAATGTACACCTAATGTTAAGGAAAAGACTGTTTCATGATAGGAATCGTACTTGTATATCTACTTGTGTAAAATAAATTATGAAGATTATTATGAATTGAATGTGCATTAATATATACGAGATATATCACATGTAAATAAGTTGAACAATTTTATGAAAGAATGTGATATGTGGATGTATAAGATTTTTTTTAATAATTATGGTTATACAGGTTTATTAGAATCCTTGAATTTTTCTAGAAAATTTACTTTTTAGTGAATATATGCATCTAATCTAGTTAAATAATTATTTATGAAACTCTACTGAATTAAACTAGAACAAAAAGTTAACTGTAATGTATTTTATGATAATTTTTTATATGCAGTATGACATGACTTATCAATCTTTGGCATATTTGAAATGTTTTTGTAAATTTCATATTTTTAACTGTAAATATACTTTTAAAATGGATTAGATATTGGACAAATAACATAAGCATCTGTAATTATAATTCTAAGATGAGAAAATTAAAAATGTAAATATTTTATGAGACCGATAATGGTTATAATCAAAGTGTATAATTTATATCAAATATGAACGATATATAAAAATTATCTCGAATTTACAAAATACGAATCGTTATGTTATCTAAACTCTGTTTGATACAAAATTCTAATATTAAATTAAAAAATAAGAGCTGATTTTATAATAAGATATATATAAATGTATTTTTTAAAAATTGTTTGCGGTACGACCATTGTTAATTCGTTTACGCGTTTTATTCATTGTATAATACATCTCAATGTATGTTCTTCATTTTATGTAATAATGATAATATGTTATCGAGAAGTTTTTGGTTTATACTAATAATATTTAGACCTGATATAAACATTTTTATACAATTTATTTCCTGTATGTGTGTTATCAATATATTTTCTTATTGCATTTATTTAGCACATGCATATGGATTTACTTGTATCTGAATAAACTATGGAATTAATATAATTCTTGTTCGTTATTTCTAATTATAAAAAATATAATATATATATATAATATATATATATATATATATATATATATATTTGTATGTGACTTGTTAAAATAACATACATAAAATTTGATTATGACTCTAATTTCTAAACAATATAACACGTAACAATACACTGCTTTAAATAATGCCAAATTTAGTTGCAATCGGATATATTCTCATATAGTATACTGTGGATATACTTCAGGAATATAAATGAACACAATTTTGATCTAATTAGAGCAAAAAATGTCGTAATTTCTTTAGAAAAACTATATATTTTCTATATATAATGCATATGTGTTTGGGTGCGGATGTATAATATAAAACGATTCTTATTAATTTGGCTGGTTAAATAACAACATTGATATTAATTAAGTTTCTAATTTCTATCATGCTGAAATAGTTACAATCAAAAATATTCTCAAAAAGTATACTATGCGTATAGTTTAGGAATATATAATGTAAATGGACACAATTTTGAGTTATTCACAGCAAACAAATGTAGAAGTTTCTATTATAGGTTTATATTTATACATATAAAAACAATACAAAAATATTTAACAATTCAGGTTGCCTGTCGCTCTAGACTAAACTTATGCTATACTTATTCTAGTTGTCATATTTGTACGAAGTAGTTGCAGGATTGTTATAGTTCCTGATAATTTTATGATTCAATCAAAATATCTTATATTAAACTTATTGTCAGAATTTGGGTTCAAGACAATTTACAAACTAGTTGTTCGGTGTTGAATTTATTCTTGTACACAGTTGATCTGCCATTCAAGTGTTTTATAACAAAAACTTTGGTGCATTGTTTTGAATTTTTGTTGCTCAAAAGTAAACTTACTCTTACATATAACCAAAACAATATTAATTGTTTAAATCTTAGGCAGGAAATAGTTCTTCATAAGATGCACTAGCCAGTACGCCGTTGGCGATTTCCGTGAAAATGTTTGACAATGTTTGTTCCAGGGTTGGCTTGAACTCTTGGAAGAATAGTCTTGCGTTGTCGTTCACAGCCTGGCTAAGAATTGTTCCAAGGGTTTGATCGTTGTTAAAGAGACCGGATAGGCGTATTTTATTGTTTCCCAAAATAATTTTCATGTCGATTGGTTTGACTTGGAGGTATTCGATTCCGTCGACAACTTTCTTGTAGCCATGTATTTGCATCCTGGCGTGGTAATCAGCTGAAATAGTAATATTAATAAATTACTACAAATACGCAATTACTAGAAATAGTAATGTAATAAGTTAACACGTTCGCGGGTGTGAAAATATGACGATTTTAATACTACCAATATAATATGAATGTACTATATTCTCAAATTGTCTAGGCTGACTACCTTTATAAACGGTGTTAAATCCAATTTCGGATATCACAACCAATTTAAAAATAAAATGACTTATCATTTTGTACCTTCTTGAAACTTTTACTTAAGTGAGATTTTTTTATTAGACAGATATTTTTGCAACTGCCCGAAAAAATAACAAGTAAAGATTTAGGAATAAAAATAAAGGCTTTAAAAGTACAAAATCATCTGATCATTCACAATGATTTTGAAATTGACCAAATCTGCTAATCAAGTGTAAATCTATTTGAAATGGATTCAGCCAAACTTCTCTTTTTATAATTTTTGTGTTTAATGGCATATTCCTAAGACATTTTAGAATTGTCTATTATCAAAACTTTGACTCTTGACTTGATATTTGTGATTAATGCTATATTAATGCAGTCGCACAAAATCTAATGTGTATCATGGCGCGCAAAATCTAATTAATAAAGAGAGTAATTTGGCAATTAATTAAAAACATATAAATTTAAACTATGAACTAATGATTTAAATTTAATTTAAACGTTTTTTACATAAATATTGAGATAGCAGAAACGTGTCAGTCACACCCTAATATATAAATATTGATTATTATACTAGTATATGTAACATATGCTACTATCATGTCATTAATTTTTAGCGTGCAATAAAAATTATTACTAATGAGTAAAAATATTACTTATTACAATTATTATTATATAACACAATTTTGTATTTAGCACCACGTGACGATACACGAACGAGATCCTTACAAACCTCTTAAAATTTTCGGAAAATTGGAAAATTATATAAAGTTTTATTTTTAGTTTTTTTATAATAATTGTAATATTATTATATAACACAATTTTGTATTTAGTCTGGCCTGGGCGATACGCGAACAAGACTCCTAAAATTTTCGGAAAATTGGAAAATATATATCGTTTTATTCGCAGCAAATTGCGCATTTAGACACGTTTAAATCCCGAAAAACTATATTTTGCAGAATAGTTTTTTTATAATAATTATAATATTATTATATGACACAATTTTGTATTTAATCTGGCCTGGGTCCGGAGTAATTCGTACGCCGACAATAAAAAATATTCCTAGTACAATCATTGTTAATATAATTGATTATTAATATTGAATTAGGAGTGATTTTTTGCGATACCACATTATCAATTTATTTAAATAAAATTCATATCATAATAATTAAAAATTATACTTATTGATTTTGTTCAGAAATTTACTCTAGCGCGAATGTCGAATAGCGTTATCATAATATATATGCAAGGGTGCACGCGTGTTTGAGAGTAATAAATTTGATAAAATTTTATTACTTCTAAATAGTACCTACGTATATAAATTATCTTTGAAATATTATTTAATTATTATTAAACTATGTGCGAATCCGAATGGCATTGAAAATAATTACATCGGTAGTTACACTATTATACGTATTAATTTAGGTGACGTTGTGTTTTTTATGGTCAGTTAGCAATTTTCTCATTATGATTATATATTTTTGCAATTGACGTATTTATAAATTGATAAAAAAAAATTAACGACCTGGTGTTGGGAGTGCTAACATTTATTCAACTAGAAAATAGTGAATTTTTTATCATGAAGGGTTAAATCTTTCATTTCTACTGCATATTTTTGCATTGTAGTTTTATAGCTGCAATACAACATTGTGGGACGTTACTCTGAAATTTAGCTCAATGACACTCAGATTGTGCTTTATAATATATTCAAAGTTTCGTAATATAAGTATAATTAAAGTTCGATAATGACATTTCTTGATTGTTAGTTTCCACTTGCAAACCCGCTGTGTATCGGATTAACATGGAATTTTTCAAGGTTTTGTTTTGAAATGCATAATAAAATGATTTATCTACATGATTTCATAATTCTAACGGACACAAGTAATAAATATTATATGTTGAATAAATGCTGCAAAAATTATAATATTTTAATAAAATATTATTATTTACAAAAGTGTTAATGATACTTACTCATGTTGATGTAAATTCGACCTGCACCGCTATAGTTTATGAGCAACAGGTTCAATTTGATTTTGAAATCACCTTCAACGTCCAGTTTTGGAAGAGTCAAATTAAATTGGAAATATCCAGTATTGAGATCGGATCTAAATAATAAATACATTTATAATATAATTATAAAATATATTTAATTAACTTCTATACAAAAAATCCATATAGTTCTGTATTGTCTGTGAATCGCAATTAGAACTATATGAGCTATTGTGATGCGATTTTTTAACCCGGTGGTTGACCATTCTCGAACTAATGAGATTATTATTAAACTTTTGTTTTAATACTTATGTAATATATATTGCAAAAATGCCGTCGGAAAATTATTTACACTTCATATCATATTTTTAACTCTATAATCTTAAGTAAAAACTGATATCACTACTGCTTGATATCAAATTGGCCGAAGAGTAAATAAGTACCGGGTCGGGGCAAGCTTCATGTATTTTGAAAGTATATTTTTATGTCATATATTTTTTATTTACTACTTTATTTATTATCATAGTAAAGAGCAGATTTTAACAACTTTTGCAGAAATTAGTCAGCATAGCTAATTAAGCTTGTAGTAATTTGAGCATATTTTTAAAAGAACTTATTGTTTTTTATTACAAAGGGAACGATTCCGAGAATTTTCAAATAATTTATTATCATAGTATATTTTTTATTAAAAAATTTATCTGCAAAAGTTGTTAAAATCTGCTTTTTAATATGATAATTATCATATTAAAGAGCAGATTTTAACAACTTTTGCAGAATTTAATCAGCATAGCTAAGTAATATGATCGACCCGGTACTTGGCTACTAATTTGAGCTTATTTTTAAAAAAGCTTATTGCTTTTTATTCCAAAGGAAACGATTCCGGGAATTTTCAAACAATTTATTATCATATTTTTCCTTTGCTACTTTATTTATTATCATAGTAAAGAGCAGATTTTAATAACTTTTGCAGAATTTGGTCAGCATAGCTAATTAAGCTTGTAGTAATTTGAGCATATTTTTGAAAAAGCTTATTGTTTTTTATTCCAAAGGGAACGATTCCGGGAATTTTCAAACAATTTATTATCATAATATATTTTTCCTTTGTTACTTTATTTATTATCATAGTAAAGAGCAGATTTTAATAACTTTTGCAGAATTTGGTCAGCATATCTAAGTAAGCATCTACTAATTTGAACATATTTTTAAAAAAGCTTATTGTTTTTCATTCCAAAGAGAACTTTAAGAATTCCGGGAATTTTCAGACTATCTATTTCTAAATCTATTATCACTTACTTTAAATCCGTGACAATGAAGTTGGAAGCTCCATAAACCGTTGTATTCCTAAGGGTTACTTTTAGATAAGGTCCATTCGATTCTCTCGATATGGTGATGGGTGGTAAATTTAGGGGCTCCAAAGTGGGTACATTAAGCTCTGGAATTCCATCTTTTAAATGTGGTGTTATCGTCTTCAACGAATCCAAAATACACTCGTTTGGTAAGGGATCACTGCGGGAGCAAACTTTGATGAAACTTGCTGGAAAATTAATAATTGATATATTAGATATGGATAATTTATGAAGAATTAATATACGACTAAGAGAATTTTGAGTATAGCAGATAATAAATTATATATGTTACTTTTTTTAATAGCTATAGGGTACTAATTTTCGACACTTTTATAACTTGGTATTTCATATAAGGATTATACCAATTTATTTATAGTAATGTACACATTTTCTATTAAATTTTAATTTCTCAATTAATAAGATTTGCTTGAATTATATAGATTGTGATTTTTATTCTTACGTAGGGCTCCGTAGGTGGATGATACCCCTACAAACAACAACAACACCAACCCCAACATTTTATTATGTCCAATTTCAGTATTTTGCTAACCACATATAATATCACTCCTATAGTTTATTTTGTATCAAAATTTATAAATTAAGTAATCCGCGCATGCCAATATCTTATATTTATATACAAACTGAGCAGGTCGCGTTTTATTGAACAATTTTACATTCTGCACATGGTAAAACTAGTTATTGTAAAATATTCACTTGATATGATGTCATAATTAGAAAAAAATATATATGTTTAAATGTCTAAAATTGTATGGAATATATTTTTCTGAGACAATATTATTCGTTTAAACATTTTCATAAATCTCATTTTGGATTTAATCTAATTTTTAATAAGTAAGTATTAATTAAACTGTGAAAAAACAAATTGATTTTTACTTATATAAGGACACATGTGGGAAATTAAAATATTATTTAGAGAAGAATTTTTTTCACATTTAGCAAGGATAATAGAATTTTTGTTGTTTTACAATTTTAATTAGCTAGAACACAACATAAAAAACTAAGTAATTATCTTTTATTAATAATAGAGTATAATATAGAGACCATCATTCTGTGGAAAAAGGTTAAAAAGAAGAATAAATAGTCTTCTTATACAAATTTAGTTGTAAATTCACACACTCAATCAATTAATTTAGGCATAATGAAGGCAATTAAAAATAGAGAAATTAAAAATTACAAATTTTTAATTAGATTAAATCTATATGTTTCAGTAGAAAAAAACTAAAAGTTTCCGTTACAATATTACAAAATTCAATAACATTTCAATAAATTAATTTAGGCAACTAAAATAGAATAATTAAAAATTTTAGGTTTGAAATAAATTAAATCCATACGTTTTAGTGGAAAAAAAATTAAATGATTCCGTTACACATATTACAAATTTTAATAAATTAGTTTAGGTAATTAAAAATAGAGAAATTAAAAATTACAAGTTTAAAATAAATTAAATCCAAAAAGTATGGATTTATAAATGAAAAAAAAACTAAAAGATTTTGTTACACACAAAATTCTACTATCTACCAAAATACTCTTTATTGTATAATTATATAAATTATAGCAATAAATAGTTCGAGTTTTGAAACAGAATTAAATGAAATAAAAGAGTTAGAAAAAATTTAAACTAGAATTTTTTTTATATAAAACACTAATTGTAAGGTGTAATAAGGTATAATATGTGAAATTATAACATATTTCTGTGGGACATATTATAAACACATGTGTTTTTGGCCCATAATTTTTACAACTATCTGAAAAGGGCTGCAAACAGAACTTCAAAAATAAAAATAAAGGCTTTAAAAATACAAAATTATTTGACCATCTGACAATGGTTAGATAATTTTTTATTTTTAAAGCCTATATTTTTATTTCTAAATTTCTGTTTGTGGCCCTTTTCAGATAGTTGTAAAAATGATTACGAGTATTTGTGTTGCTGAAGTTCAAATTTATATATCTATTATTATATTTGCAAAAATCGATTTCTATAAAACGCGACTTATATTGGATCTTTCCACAAACACACAACACTTGCGACCCTGGACTTTCCCGTATATTTCTGTATTATAATTACTCTTAATTTCGTTCAGAGACTCATAGTTTTTGTCCGAATAAATCTTACGGCTAGATCCAATTTATAAAATAATGATAATTAAATCTATCTTACACGGATGGGTAGATATCTTCTGAGCAGAAAATATATACAAAGAGTTCTAAATGACGCACGTTTCGTCGGATATTGACAATTTAAATTAAAGTCGGTTTTAAACTCTTTTTTGTAATAGGATCATGATTACTGGCTCTGAGGTATTTTATTTTGAACGTTTATTTCGGGCGTCAAGTGGTAAAAAATTGATGATTTTATATATACAAGCACATAATTAAAAAAACAAGTTTGAGTATTTTTAATATTTATGTAAATAGTTAATGATGATAGACTAGAGATGTTTTTATTTGGTAAAGTTAATTGTAACATATATTACATAAAATATAATATATGCGGCTGTTTATAATTGGTTAAAAACAGATTAGATCTATGTTGTGGTAATTCTTTGAAATTCCGTGCTTCTGAAGTAAACAACTGTAGAATATTTTAGAATAAATCTATAAAAAATAGGATATATAAATCATACAAATTATTTTTTCTTTTATGGTTTTAATTGATAAATATGGATTGAAGCATATATATAAAAAAAATTAAATATTGAATTAATTCCATCCAGTTTCTTGAAGTTAATTATGTTAATTAATTTATGTTTTCTTGAAGTTTCAAGTCAAATATGTGTATGAGTATGAGTGTGAATATGTAAGTTTTTTAGAAATTTGCAGAAGGTTGCAAATTTTGTCCACGTATTCACAAAAAATCCTGAACCGATTTTGAAAATTCAAAAGCTATTCGAAAAAGTTTGTAGTTACGAATAGGGGCTGTTTAGTTTGCGGTAAAGATAGGCCGAACCATTTTTTTTTTAAATCAATTTCTGATTTTTTTATTTATAAATCTGCGGTTAAGGCTCTACAGCAACTCAGTATGATTACAAATCACTCATAAATTAGTATATTTATTTTTTATTGATTAGACCAATTATTTACACATGTGGGAGGTAGTTCATGCAACTTAAGGCAAAATGCTACTTACATCTAGTTTTTTTTTATTTTAATTTTAAACTAATAAGTAATTACAATTATTGTTTTTAATCATGATTTGTTTGTTATTATTCTATTAAGATATTTATACATAACGCGTTTTATTTGTTTGGTGACACGATTTACTTATTACAGATATTATTCTAGTGACATTTTTTTCAATAACCGATTTAACCTTGGATATAGGTACGATTCTTTTTAATCATAAAACCAGTTATTTATTTCATCTTGACAATTATGTCGAACAATATTTATGCATATATAGGAAAGTTTTAGTTCAGCTTAGCATTTGAATATTGCATTGCATAACGTGTGAATCAGCTCAAATATGACTTAATTAATGAGATGCATCTTGATTACATATGAAATAATTAAATCGTGAAACGCAAATAGAATTATGATTTTATCTTAAAAATAAATATTTAAAAGTATCAAGATGGAAACTACGCGAATGCATGCTATTTAGGCGAGAAATTATTTTATTTAATACCATATATTTGATGATAATTTTGCTACATTTTACTATTGTAAATAAATTCATATTTTATTTTTCATTGGAAGTCTATAACAAGACTTCTTATGCAATAAGGTTTATAAAAGCTGTTTATTAATATTTTACTAAAATTCTAATTCAAGGAATGAATTGAATGTTAACCAAGTATATAATTACAGACATTCAGGTCATAATTAAACACATCTTTAAATTACTCCTGTAGAGTACGTGAACTCTGCGCTTGTAGTTCACTCAGCCATAGATATATACAAACATTATAGTATACTTAAATAAGTATATAATCAATATTATTGCATAGAACATACACAAAAGTTTTATAAAATTTATTTATTGAGACTATTTCATACAATTAAATTATTACAAGAAATATTAAATAAGTCGATATTAATATAAATCAGTCAATATTATTTTAAAAAATAGTTGAAATTTAAAATTAATTACTCACTACATATTATTAATATCACATGGTGAAATAAATTAGCGATATCAAGTACAGTTCATTCATTTTTCGGTATTTCTGCAAATGGTTCGAAACATTTTTGAGAGCAAATATCTAATTTTACAGGCATACGCCTATCTGCTGTTGATGCATCAAATGCTACAGATTCAGCAAGCCTATCTATTGTCGATGTAACAACAGAACAATATACATCAACAATCTTTCTAGAACACATGCATTCTGTAGATCTATCTAAATATTTACACATAGTCCTTGGAATTAGAATAGGTGAATATTTTATATCATATTTGAGTATCGTTCGTGCACTCAGTTCAACTAAAGAAATTTGATTTTTGAATTCACCACCGTGAATATACATTTTCTTTTCAAAACAATTTGAGCTTATATCCACATTTGCTAGTTTTCTTTTGAATAATGTTTGTGGTAAAAATTTTAATTTGTTTACTTGTATAAAAAGATATTGCAGTTTTCTCATTCTATTCATTCCATCAGGCAGAATCCTCAACTTATTATTATCAACTCTTAGTGTTTCTATATTATGCAATTGCACAATATTATCTGGTAAAACTGATAAATTATTATTTGATAATTGCAATGTTTTTAAAGAATTTCTAATAGGCATTTCGTCTAGCCATTGCCATTCATTTAACTTAGATATATATAAGCTATTACCACTTAAACTTAAAGATGTTAAATTCGACAAACTTCCTAAACTTCGGGGTAATACTTTTAGGCAATTATCAGATAGGTCTAATGTGTGCAATGACCTTAATTGTATTATCTGTGTCTCAAATCTTTCTAATTTTAATCCTGATATGATTAATGTTTGTAGAGTTCTAGGAAAACCTTTTGTTGGATATTGAGCCCTGCTCGTAATGTTCAGTTTTAAAATTGGTTGCATTTTCTTGGTTATCGAAGTTGCAGATATATTAGAAAGTGCTAAGGTTTTTTTTGGCACCTCACCACTAAGGCTGCATTTGAGAGTTGTTAAAAATCCCTTTAGTTGGGTAGCATCGCATTTTATACAAATATCTTGAGGGGGTGTTTTTAAACGTATAGTTGCTTTTCCTTCATTAACGAACTTGCAGAATACTTGTTCTAGATTGTCTTTTAAATTATATTTTGTACCTGATTTATTTGTGTTTGTAAAATGTAGTAGAAATACTTGTTTATCATCTTTTAGTCCTGCTCCTATTGCTAAAGTTGATTTTTGGGAACGACTTTGGGTATTTGCATTAGCGAGGCGATTGACGATTTGAATGTCACAAAATATTTTCATTTTGTTTAATTTTTTTAGCACTGTCTATTCATTTATAAAAAGTAGTTTCAATAAAACTTATGCTTTATAAATTATTTCTTAAGATAACCTAACAAAATACATGCAATTTTCATTTACTACCGCGCAATTAACTGTCAAACGTAAAAGCAAAATTTGACATTTGACAGCTCTCAATGCTGCCAACCTTCGAAATTGCGCGGTTCTTTTTAAACATGCGAAATGATTTTGAATAACATTTCTAAATATTTTATAAATTAATCTTTGTTTATAATATTGTTGTAATATTATTAACAAAGAGAAACACGTTATATACATTAGCTTATTTCGAAGCATAGAATATTTTCTTGTACTTAATTTGTTAATTAGAGAAATTAAGGTATTTTTTAATACTTAGTACAAGTATAATGAAACTATAATAATTTTCAAATTTCTAGATGCTAGCCGATTTTATATAATTTAATCAAGTTTATAATAATTCATAGTTATTTTTAAAATATGTTCATATCTGAATTCACTAATAATTAAATTTATTACCTTATTAATACATTGACGATTAATACTGACTATTACATTGTGTAATCAACTTCGTAATACATTTACACAAGAGCCCTTCACACTCAATTGATTTTATTATTCGATCATCAAAAGCAGACTAAATTGGATTTAAATTATGCCTAATAGACGGGATGTACTTTTATGAACTGAAGGGGCTCTCATTTGTGAACAGATTCTACTTGTTTTATTTGTTTAAGCTTACTCGGATATTGATAATAATATCATATGCCATGTGCTTTAAATAGAAATATAGCCAAGAAGTCCTAAATCAAATTAAATAAGAGATACATCAGACACAAATCAGCATTAGATATCAAATTTATTGTTGAATAACAATGTATTAGAAAACAAAATATAATTTGTAATTTCTTGGAAGTAATATTTTTACAATTAAATCCAAATATTTGGGTTTCCATATTAGGAGCCTCCAGTAACAGCTTTTGTCCAGGCATTGAACAGTTTGTTATACTTGTGATATTGCCAGCCATTAAATAAGTTGTTAATTTTATGACTTTAATCTAGTAAATCTAGAAATCAATGTAATTATTATAAATGAAATAACAAAGTTTTTAATATGACGTTAATTGAACGATAAGACTTGACCTATGCATTCACAGATAAATATATCAATATTCAGTAGTTGTGTATAAATTATAGAGATAGGTAAAATGTTCAGATCCTTAAATTTTTGCTACTTTATTATTTATTTTTATTGTTTTCGAAAACTTTCCCAAATTAAGTAGTTTATTTAAGTCATTTATCATCTTTGTCACAAACAAATGACTTGTTCTACTTTCTTTTTCTGTAAAAGTGCAAACACTCGAAACTGCATTTCGTTGTCGTTTGCTTGCAAAATAGATTTAAATAATAAAAATCTGGTACAATTAGTCTTATGTAAAATTCTGTTTTCTTATTTTTTCAACAATCATCATGAAAATTTCCGTACTTTTCAAAATGATTATTATTAAAGGAGTGGCTATATTTTAAAAGAATGGAGAAAAATGTATTGCAGATTGATTTGGTACACACTTCCATTGTATGGATCTTTAGCATGTTTAAATTTTGCAAATCATTTTAAAAAATATATAAAAATGCAGGCGTGTCTGTACAATGAGTAAAAAATGTGCCTTATGATTGTAATAATAATAATAGGACTTCCTGTATTGAAATACGAATTTAACGTTGTGCACATTCATTTCACTTGGTAAAGTGTTTTTTTTTTAGATATTTGACTAATATAAACGCGGATGTATATTTTTTTTAACAAAAATTAGGTATATCCAAATGATTTGATGCTTTTAAATATGACCCAGGGGCGGATAAATATCCAAACTTGTTTTATTTTTTTTATTTGATCACCTATCTACATAAGATATCACATCGATTGTTCATTTAAGCAGTATAAAAAGTAAATTTGAAGACAACCTGCAGATATGTATTATTTTACAATGATGATAGTAGAAAAGGAAAAAATAGACTTTACTTATCAGTAGACATAAAGTAGGTCATTAGGGTTTTTTAGTACTAGTTTGGTCAACCTGTATTTACACTTCTGACTATTTCCAAAATCTTGACGTTTCGGAACTAGACACGATCCATCATCAGGTTTTCTGCCCAAAACATTTTTTGACTATATTAATGAGTAAGTTGATAAAAACTGTATGCTATAAGACCTTAGAAAGAATCGATTTCGTCATTCGATCTAATTCGATAAGGATTATCGTTGATTAGTTTTGTGTGAGGATCGGCTGAGCCATTTCATTGTAATTAGCAGAAAAATGTAAAATTTGCGTCCACATTTCAGCCCGCAACCTTGACTCGATTTTAAAAATTTAAAAAGGACTCAAAAGATATTGGTTAGAAACCGTGTTTTTGATAAAAATTGACAGGGTTGCTTCTTCCTGTCAAATGTTAAATTTTCTTTAACGATTTTGATTAAACTTTAGATAATCCATAGATATAAACACGTGTACGTGTAATCATAGACTTTGTAATCTGAAATAACATACTAAAATAGTATATGACTACAATAAGCTATTGAATTATATAAATTCATCAAAGTTCATAATTTTGCTGTACGTTAGAGCAGGTAGCTACTGATTACAGTTGATGTCTCCGATCACAGAAATACATTTTTAGAACATGAAACGGTTTAAATGAAATGTTTTAAACAAATTAATTGAATATATACAATCACAGATACTATAAGTACGTTTGAAAACAACAATTTGGAATCGTACCGCAGGTAGCTACTGATTACAGTTGACGTCTTCGATCACAAAAATACATTTTTAGAACATGAAACAGTTTAAATGGAATGCTTTAAACAAATTAATTTAATGTATACTATTACAGATACTATAAGTACGTTTGAAGAATATCAATTTGGAATCGTATCGCAGGTAGCTACTGATTACAGTTGACGTCTTCGATCACAGAAATACATTTTTGAACATGAAACGGGTTAAATGGAATGCTTTAAACAAATTAATTTAATGTATACTATTACAGATACTATAAGTACGTTTGAAGAACATCAATTGGGAATCGTATCGATTATTTTTTAGTGAAAGCGAGAATGTTATTTTCGTAATAAATAGTTGAACATTTTATCTGAAATAGCTGAATTTAAATTTTTATTGATTAAGTTGATTATGTCTACGTAGACATAACGTATCGGGAAGTTCATGCAACTTGACTTAAGACAAAATTCTACTTACAACTAGTTTTTGGATTGAATCTTCGGAAAAGTAACATAAATCACTTTGTGTCACTTAAAATATCAAATTTAAGTTGCTAAACAAGTACATGCAAAAACTGTTGAAGGAACGAGTCTATCGTCTACCATCTTTTTGCATTTTTTACACCTAGAACCGCTACAACATCAGTTATCAAATGTGTTTATGTGGCCTCAAATAGTTCTTGATTGGCAAGTCGAGTAATGATAGATATTTGTTTGCTGGTTCAACTACTTTTTAAAATCACGCCATTGCGTTCGTTTATAGAGTTTGACCACCGATGATACAAATAAACAAATTGGAGTGGTCGCAGAGAGCCGCTTTGAGGAGTGCAAATGACACAATTGTAGTACCAGTACCAGTGTACATTGGCATATCGGTTAAGAAAGTTATGCCAGTGCGTGCGTTTGTTCCTCTTCGAAATGATTAAAAAGTAGATAGAAGAAATATTTTAAGTCATTTTTAATTTGTTGTTGGTTTTTGTTTGTATCCGTTCAGTTAATAAGTGAGATGTTTATATAACAAGGACGTTTAGAAAGTGTTTCCGCTTTGCGGATTTTATTCAAAAATAAAGTGTTAACAGTCGATGAAGGAAGAATGATTACGACGATATTACGCTTTGATACGACGCATGCGAAGTGAATTGCATTTTTGATTAATTTATAGTGTTTATATCAGTATTATTATATTTACAATATTTGCAAAAAATACTAGTTTGTTGTTAGATTTTTTATACTTAGGTGCTCCTTTAGAAAATATTTGGTAAGTATAGATTTTATTCATTATAATTTAATAACACGCTAAAACATTATAGGACTACGATAAACAATTGAATTATATAATTTTTTTTTCATTGCCGTTTGTTTGAGCGATCTTAATCAGAACCTGTGTCGGAGCATACGTACTTTGGTGTTTTGCAGGTAGCTACTGATTACAGTTGACGTTTACATTAAAATAATTTACATCTTTACATCTATTTTAACTTAACATCTATTTTAACTAAGAGCTTCCTTCTTTTCAAAAAAGTATTTACTAAATTTTTCATTTATTATTATTATTTATTATATATTAGTTTATTTGGGGATATGATTACAGAACTAAAATAAAGAACGTACAAGGGCCCCCTTAGAAGTGCAAGATGTCTTTTCAATAAATTATCTACTGAACTAAAAATATTGACAAATTTAAAACTGAATTAAAAAACTATATCAAAGATAAACAATTAACCTTTTTAATTAAATATGACTTGTAAAATTAATTTCTTATAATATTATTATTAATAAATAAAAAATCACTCATATCTATCACGTCCCTCTTGACTAATTCAAAATACTTTTAGTTATAGTTATAGGTTTGTATAATAGTATGTTCTAAAACTGATACCAGTAATTGTGGTAAACCTAAGATTAATTAATAACAAATAATATTTGTTTGAGTCAGCGTTTCTTTAGGAAAATTAAATAAGAAATACGGTCGGTTGTCCAAATAGTAGAGGGATCTTATATTTTTTTCGGGCATATAAAAAATTTAATGTATAGTTTTTTTGCTTAATACTGAACTCTAAAATAATTCATATTTATTTTAAAAATAACATTAATTTTTGCTCATAAATACTAAATACGAAATTTTTGTTGAGCTTGGCTATTTTAGCAAAAGGTTATTTTATTTAATCAGTAATACATCATTAAGAACTTTAATAATCATATTGCATATGCAGTATAATTTGCAATAATAATGATTGTTGAATATCTGATAAATAAAATGTTAGTACTTTAAATGATTATATTATATATATATACATATATAATATAAATGTGTGTTT